ACTGATGTTTGAATCATTTGCAAACAATGCGTAATACAAGCAAAATAATAAAACAGAAACCCAACATTATGTTTTGTAAATTACACTCAGTTATTAAAGGGAAAGGTTTTTTTTAGTGTGTTTTCAGTACAGAACAGATTATATGAATTATTTTTTGATGTGACATATTTACATGTTTTTCATTGCATTAGCTACTACAATAACTGTCTAAATGCTTATTAAATGTTGAGATGCAAGTTAGCCACACAGGAAGTGCATTGTTTTCAGTATGTTGGCTGACTCCTAGACTTGCATTGTAAAAAGGAGGTATGGTAGTCTCTATGTACATATATAATTAATACAAACTATACATAGAAACACAATTATTTACACCAAGATGTATTTTTTTAACATGTTTATCTGAAACATAATAATTGAATATACTTTACATTCCCTTAAGCAAGGCAATTGCACTGGCAATATTTCACTGTCTGCTATAGATAACCGTAGAACCAGACATGACATACATGCCAACCCAGCAAAATGTGCACATGTACCACTGGACACAAAGTATACTTCTACAGCAAAATATAATTTTAGATTTCTTTATGTCACGGGGGGGGTCGGCAGGCAAAGCGGCATGGCTCCTGGCAACCAGTGACATCACTGGTAGCCAGCAGCTAGGGACACCCCTGTATTTTAGCAAAAGTTGTTAAAAGATATGCAGAAAAAAGTCAGGTTATATGGAGTGTAGTTGAGTCAGATTTATTGGTAAGTGAAATATGTTGCGCTAGGTCCGTGTTGCAATTACTGATTAGCAATCATGTGCATCAAACCTGAAAGTGATAAGCAGGGACTTAGAGTGCAGTCCCTGCAGCTCTATTAACCCCACCAAAAATATTTTAAACTTTATAGTGATAGCCAAGGCTAAACCGCATCTGCTCACCCTTGTGACAGGGAGTGACATTCGATATAGTGAACCAATATTAAAACTTCCCTTTTTATAAACACATTTATCCACTGTAAATGTGGAATAGTTCAAATTCTCAGTGTTATCTTAGAGGGTCTCACAGTGTGTAGCTAACTGGTGTGAATGGACTCTAAATCTGCAGGAAGCTGTAGAGTTTGTAAACACAAGGGGTCTCCTGGCTATTACTGCAGAAATCTTCTGAACTTTGTACTTTTTGTTGCTGAACCGAAGGCAGACAGATAAATAGTCAGGTCACTCATCTAAAGGCTTCTATTCACTATAGCACCACAGAAATTTGACAAGATGATGGAAAAATATCTGTCTATGATAAAGAACAAGGTGAATGGAACTCCTCTACCCGAGATCACAGAGTTTAATGATTTCTCCCTGAGAGGTAAATGGAACTCAGCTACCTGGAGATTACAGATGACAATGATTTCTCCCTACGAGGTAAATGGAACTCAGGTAGTAGAGATTACACAGTTCAATGATTCCTGCTCCAATTGCACTGGTTAGTGTAACCAGTACTATGAAGTAGAGCTGCAGCTAACGATTATTTTCAAAATCGATTAGTAAGCCCAAATCAAATCTAAGTCTACGGGACAAATTCATTTGTCCCGTATCAACTGGTACTCATTCTGGATAATAGACTGGCAAATATGATCACCAAAGGATTCAATAAGCCCTCCTTAAATAAGTTCTAGCTAAATTTCATTCACCCTGCGTAAACAGAAACTCACTTCTACTGGTTTTCAGTATCAGGCATTACGTATACTGTACATAACTATTTGTTGACTAAAATTTGGTCAACCTTTCCTCTCAATTGTTCAGTTGTAGATTTTAGTATTCAAAGTACTGAAATCTATTTTAAAGATGATTTCTCAATTTTAAAATCTCTTATACATTGATCAGTTTGAAGTCACGTTTGGCAATTTAAAATATACTGTATTTGTTAAAATAGCTCTGTAATAGGACAAGTATAATTTTATGGTAAAACCCCATGTGCGCCCCTCATCCGTCTTAGCAAATTCCGTTCACTGCCCTGTTTTGCACAGTGTCAGGCAATGTTTTAATACTAATATTAGCCAAGCAACCCGTGCTTGTGCTGCCACCCAGCCAAATAAACAAATAGCTTGCCTGTTCACAATCACAGGTCACTGTTGTATACCAGCCAGCATTGCCACTAGCCATGGAAATGTACACCTGCATTTGAGGTATGGTTTCATAGTCATACCCATTAATTTGTTGTAGAGGGTGAGGGGCATATGCGGCCCACTACCGTATTACCAAAGTGCAGGTCTTCAAAAAGCAATGTATATTTTTTGAACTAATTATGTTTAAACACAGAGGAGCCTCTGATGTTAGGACTTCTTATTACATAAAATACTTTACATCAGTGTTTTGTTTAACTTTGCTCATCCGTCCTGGTAATACCTGCTCCTGCCTGTCCTGAACTTTAAAGTATATCTCTTATGCATTTCAAGTCAAAGCTTGTTTAATAGGTTGAATTACACAGATGTGATGATGGGGAGGAGAAGGGCTGTGGTGCCAGTGCTCTAAATTAGAGCTGAAAGTTAATTAACATAATTTTAATTAAGCGGACTGCTGGTGCTGGTGTTGGTGGAGCTCCACTCAGGAAATCATGTGAAGGCACCTTCAGGTGCTTGATTTAATCCTGCGATCTTGGCGTTATAGGTTTAATTGCAAAACAAATAATTTTTTATCTTCTGTTCCATCTTTCCAGTCCTCCTGCAGTCATGTTAGCCAGGAGGAGGTGTGGATGACAGGCTCATTCTCTACACTCTTATATGATGTGAGTCAGGAAGAGTAGCAGAAGAAATGTCAATTCTCTTCACTCTTACAGTTATTTGGTATTGGGGATAGCAGAGTAGGGGCCTATTCTCTGCACTCTTACAGTGATAGCTGCCAGGGGAAGAGGTGGAGAAGGTTCTCCATCTCTCCACTCCCCCTACTATGATGTCAGCCAAGGGAAGGAGTGAAGAAGATGCTCCATCTCTTCACTCCTTCCATAGTGATGTCATCCGTGAGGAAGATTGGGGAAGGTGTTCCATCTCTCTACTCCCCCTACTATGATCTCAGCCATGGGGAGGAGCAAAGAAGGTGTTCTATCTCTCCACTTCTTCCTCAGTGATGTCATCCATGAGGAAGATTGCGGAAACTGCTCCATCTCTTCACTTCTCCTACAGCGATTAGAGCCAGAAGAGGAGCGTAAAGGGTGACTTTGCTAGGAAAGTTAATGGCCGTTAGAATGAAGAGTAAGAACTAAGAGCTATTTCCCAAAGTAGGCTAGACAGAGGACACTCTGGTCTTTTGGAAAGTGAAAACAAATACAGTAGAGCTGGACATGGCAAAACTTGCAGAAACAAATATACATAAATAAGGTATTAAGAAAAACACCAGAACTTTTAAATGTTATATACATAAAACTGCAGAAAATGCAGGATTTACACCAAAATTAGTACAAGTTTAGCACTCAAATCAAAGTGTCTAATTCCTATTGAAATTGTTGGTACAGAGAAATGTTTACTCAGGCAACTCTCTCCCAGACAAAAGTGACAAATACCTTTTGAACAGTATGGCTCCACATAATTATTGCATATACAAATTCAAATACCGTATATACTCGAGTATAAGCCGTCCCGAATATAAGCCGAGGTACCTAATTTTAGCCAAAAAAACTGGGAAAAAGTATTGACCCGAATATAAGCCGAGGGTGGGAAATGAGGCAGCTACTGGTAGATAGATACCATTAAAATACATTAATATTTATTTAAAAGAAAAATAACCTAGCTCTGTAAGTGGAAAAGGGGGTACAGGGCTACATATCATGTACTACGGATCATTTAACCCATTCATATTAGCAGAGGATAATTGTAAATCTATTGTTCAGTGCACTCTATATGTAGTATATAGTACATGTACATATAGAGTGCCTGCAACAATACATTTACAATGATCCTCTGCTAACATGAATGGGTTAAATGATCCATAGTACAGGGCTACATACAGATCATTTAATACATTCATGTTAGTATAATTGTAAATGTATTGTCTGCACTGTATTAGCAGTATATACTCTATATAGAGTATATACTGCTAATACAGTGCAGACAATACATTTACAATTATACTAACATGAATGTATTAAATGATCTGTATGTAGCCCTGTACTATGGATCATTTAACCCATTCATGTTAGCAGAGGATCATTGTAAATGTATTGTTGCAGGCACTCTATATGTACATGTACTATATACTACATATAGAGTGCACTGAACAATAGATTTACAATTATCCTCTGCTAATATGAATGGGTTAAATGATCCGTAGTACATGATATGTAGCCCTGTACCCCCTTTTCCACTTACAGAGCTAGGTTATTTTTCTTTTAAATAAATATTAATGTATTTTAATGGTATCTATCTACCAGTAGCTGCCTCATTTCCCACCCTCGGCTTATATTCGGGTCAATACTTTTTCCCAGTTTTTTTGGCTAAAATTAGGTACCTCGGCTTATATTCGGGACGGCTTATACTCGAGTATATACGGTATGCATTTCTAATTAATATCTTATATTTAATATCTAATAATGTATTGAAACCTCAAACACTTATTTTGTGCATCCTCCATACTGAAACTAATCCATAAATGTAACACCTATGTTCTTTATAGACTTGTCTCTTTTAATTACCCATACAAAAATAAAATAGGATATCTGTAGTATATATATATATTTATATACTCTTGGAAAATTATAGGCCTTTAAATATATCAAATGTAAATTAGAAATCTCATTCTAACTCACCATATCACCAATGGATATGGTGACATCTAATCCATAATGTGTAAATGCCCTAGGAAGAGTACTTTAAAATGGACTAAATCTTTTTTTGGTACATTTGGCACGTTCACATAACGTAGCAATCGTTAAACTAAGCACACAGACTAAAGTAAACGCTGTATAATCTTCCCTAGTGCTCTGAATGCAGGGGTGCAATGATTTAACCAGTCAAGTGACCATAGGAAAAAGCAAAACTATGGAGTAACTGTTCTTCAAATACGACTACTGTATACTCAAGTTTTTACAGCACAATATATAATTACTTTGTAACGCAATACGAATACATTCACACAGCTCTGACAATTCTATGGTGTACCTAAAACCTCCGACAACCCTAAGGATCTCCCTATAAATCCTGTCCGAGGCGCTCAATTTCTTCGATGAGGAAATCGATATCTTGATGACTGGCTGCTGGATTGGAGATGACCATACGGAAGAAGTTGACTTTGTCTCCGTGGGGCTGGTAACTGACCATGGTTGTTCCATATTCCATCATTCTGGCTTTGATCACAGGGGCAACCTAAATATGTGAAAGCAAGCGTAGTAGTAGAAATGAAATAGTGGTCAATAATTAGGCAAACATACAGTTACCATAAAATGCGTACACTTAATAAAGTGTGCGTATATCTGTTTTGTTTTGGATAAAGTAGGGAAGAGTTAAAACCCCTGTTAATTAATTTCTTGCTGTCTCTGTCCCATTAGGGAGAGCCGCCTTCATTCCAAAGTATGGGGCATTCCCCTCCTCTTAGGCATATTGGGTTTTACTGATTCTGTGTCCCTGATGAAGTGATTTTCAAATTTTCATGCCTCAGTGATTACCAAGGCATGGATTTAAAGGTGAAAATCTAGTTTCTCTTCTTTGGAGTGCATTCTTCATACTGTATCTTCCTTTGGAGACTCCTTTAGAGGATGCTATTAACAGTGTCATTGGCTTCTTCATGAATTCTCCAGAGTGAGATCCCCATAAATGTTACACTCGTGTTCTAGAGAGCTGAATCATGAAGTTCTGCACACAGCAATGACCTTGTGGGAACATAATGGTAAAGAAAAACATCCCTAAAAGAGATGTGGACAGCAACAAAACCCAATATAGGATCTACCTGTACTTGAATCTTGAATCTTCTCTGTTTACATTAATTTTCTTAGCTTTTTCATGTACCTTCTCTTGTACATTAGTTATCTATTTATTTATTTTGAAGCATGAAACTCTGTAAGAGTGTTGTTGGTTCATAGTGTTGTCCATGGCACACCATAGATGTGGCCACAATTCTCCATGTCTGCATTTATGAGCTTTCAGCTTAACAGATGTATGGTTTGCAGTATACTCTTTGCACTTGCTATATATTGATCTCGCACCAAGATCAATATAACCATTTTGTGTATGATTACATGTAAAAAATGTCTACACGATGTCCATGTTGCAAAGACCTATCTTTGGGGTCATAAGAGTGGTTATAGCATTAATTTTACTGGTAGAGGTAGGATGCATGCATGTCATAGCAGTTTTGCATTAATACCATACATTTCCATTAGATGTAAGGCGCCCATTGGTGGGCTGACCCTTTAAAGAACTCCGCTTGCTATTATTTGTGTTTAATGACCTCTTATTGTATTGATCTCTAAAGATCACCTGCATACCATCTAGAATTTTAAGTCACATCAACATCAGAAGTTGTGCTCTGGCAGCTGAAGTAAAAGAAAAGGTAGTGAGCTAATGTGAGTCTCTTCCCAAGTCTCAGAACATCTCCTGCTGGGATCATATACTACAACACTGACTATCTTGTGCATTTGACACTTGGGGAAGGTAATAGGTCATTTATTAAAGTCTTTTTAGGATTAAATGTTCTAGCTACTCACAGTTGCCGGTCATATTCCACCCTTCTTTCTATGGTCTGGGAAAAATAATTGATTTCATTGCTACAGGCAGCAATGAAATTTTTGTTCAAACAATTGAATTAAATGTATATGTATAGCCTTTTGTTTTTCTTGGTATTAGATAGAGTGAGGAAGTTAAAACCCTTGCTAAGTTCTAACTGCTATCGGAGGCTCCTTTAGAGAGGTGTCCACTCACTTCCTGTTTTGCTGACAATATTTTACCAGACAGGAAGTAAGGAAAAATCTGCAGCAGGGACACAGACAAAAATACAATTTATTTTATTTAGTAGATTAGGGAGAGGCTACAACCCCTGTCAGCTTGTTATTTCCGTCTGTGTCCCTGTTGCAGATTTTCCCTTACTTCCTGCTAATTATACCGGGTTATCAGGACTAGAAATGAAAGGAAATCTCCCTAGTGGAGCCCCAGATAGCAGATATACCTTATAGGGGGTTTAATCCTTCCACACTCCATCCAAAACTAGAAGAAAGGTTTTTGGTTTGATTTACACATTAAAACATCACATAATGAATTAGACATACGGGCAGTATGATTCTCAGATAGACTAGTGACACAATCTGCAGGAAATGACATGTTTATCTTAGGTGTATGTTAGTTGCCTGATTTAGTAAAGTAATGTAAATGGTGGGGTCAAAGGCTCAGTCCATTTAAAAATATTTCAGTTATGGAGAGAGTCAGGTGGACTGGCCCACATTGGAGTTTTGTGTGTTTCAACCAATCATAGGGAACTCAATGCAAAGATCTCACCTCCCCTGCACTATAGATTGGTGAAACCATTAGATGGTGTGATGCTACCAAACTCCAAAATATTTGTTTTGGATGGACTGGCCCTTGTATAGTTAAAGTTCAGTTACCTATAGAAAAACATTTTTATAATGCAGTCTGAAGATAGTGGTCTTTTTAGGCAGTTTTGGGCAAACCCCTGCGAGTTCACCAGATTATGCATGCTTAAACCAGCCAATCTGAAAATCATATATGTACTATGGCCAGCTAGTCAACTTACAGCAGTTGCAGATTAAAAAAACATGTATCTGAAAATGTATGTTGAAGAATTAGGATTAAATATAAAAGATTGCTTTGAGTTGCTGAAAGCTCTTCCCTTAGACAGGTAATAAAGAAAGTCCATTGCGAATTTCCACAGGATATTCATATTTAAGATTTTAAGGATGATAATTAGTAACCTTTATAAGTCTTTCCATTCTTTCCTCGTTGTCCTCCATGTGTCTCAGGCTGGGTGGTATATACCAGAAGCAAACATTTGTATGTTGAGGCTAATAAAGAGTAAAATCAACATATTAGATGCATGTAGATATTCAAAGAGCAACTATATATACACCACGCATCATCAAGAACACTTATATAGTGAAACTGCTTCCACTGAATGTTCTACAGCTTGCCATAACGATTCCTTCTGTTGGCCATGGGATGACATCTGCACATGCCTCCAGCAGATCTTGTAGGCAGTCCAATGGCTAACTGAAAAAGCTTCCAATGCAGGCTAATAACACTGCTGCTAACTGCGAGGCACTGGCGTACTGTTGTTAGCCCGCAACAGGAATATATCTAAAGGTAAGAAACTTTGCAATAGATTCACAAAAAAAGGGGCTTGCTGAAGAAGATATTTGTTAAGATTACTGTTTCACAATGAGATATCATGCCAAACATAATGAAAAATACAATTTGGGTTTACATAAATATATTAAGACAACCTTTCACAATGTTTTGGGGACTTTTAAGGCACACACACATTGTAAACATTTTACTACAGACCTTAAAATATCAATAAAATTGTATATAGAGTTCCTTATTCCACCGCAATCATTTAATGAATATAATCATTTTTTCACATTTCAAATATCTCCGTGTAAGTAGGGGAGGCTAGGTTGGAATAAGGAGCTAGTTATACATCTTTACTTTATGTAATTTTAATATCTGAAATAACATAAATATTTTGTATAATGTTGACAATTTGTGTGTGCCTTAAAAGTCCCCAAAACTTTGTAAAAATATGTCTATATTGTGGGAATGTAGCACCTTTGTGACAGGTTTTGCATTCACCACAATATGATCTTCATCACTGGAAAAAACAAAGACAGGGTTTACTCCTTCGGGCAAAGGTTAGCTACTAAATGACAGGTGAGCAATACCATTTCCAAGCAATCTTCTAACTTATTGTACAAAAAGATGCCACTTAAATAAGATGCAATCCCTCTACTAATACCCGGTTCCTTGCTCTTATTGTTCTTTTTTTTTACAGTTTTATTTATTGGCCAATTTAACCGGCAGTAAAAAAGACAGCCAAACACAAAACCAGAAGGAGAACATTTGCACAATTTACAAAGGGGTGACGTGTTACAAAAGGGGTGACGTGTTACAAAGAGGTGACATGTTACAAAGGGGTGACGTGTTACAAAGTTGTGACAAGACAGAATCTGCCTGAAACCAAGATAAAGGTGCAACTAAGGGGGGTAACTGAATTAATTCTTGCAAAACACACATATGACAAACACAAATGTCAATCATACTAAACAGTTAAAGTACACACCTTTCCATCAATGACCATTTCATATCCTTCTCGATTCTTTATTTTATTATACAGGTATTCTGCAAGATCTAAGCATTTATCGATCTGAGCTTCAAATCCTGTTGTCCCCTATAGAGAAAATAGAAAAGTAATTCATAATCAACCTAAAAAAACCACATACATTTGTAAAGTAAACAAATATGTAAAAATTGAATGAATTTAAAGTCTGATACCTGTCAAAGCTTATGTATAATGATAACACCCATCATTGATTGCACACAAAATTACACTTTTAACGTAGTTAAAAAATATTGAAGTGATCTTAAGCAGGAATTACATTTTTTTTAACCAAAATGTATGATATTAAAGTAGTATTAAACTCTCAAACTTTTTTCAATAATAAATCCAGATAAAAGGATATATATAAAAATATATATTTATTTACATGTTTGCCCAAACACTGTAAGTCATCATGTTTCTGAACAGCTCCAACTCTCTCAGCTCGGTTTCCCTGAACTTCATGTCCAGTACAAGATTACAAGGGACAGAGGAGTCTGCAGCAGTTGTCCATCTACTAGCTTGAAGAAGGGAGAAGTAATGAGGAAGAAAGGAGGAGGGAGGAAAGATGAGAGGGGAGCAGGGAGTGTCTTGCCTTGCTGTGCCTGTGGGTTTGTGGAGACACACACAGCTTAGTAGCACACACATAGGTGGCTTCACAGGGCCCTGCAAGGGGAAGGAGCCACCCTAAAAACAGGATATCAGGACCAGTGCTCCAGATATCAGGACAAGAACCAGCTGATTCAGCAGGAAACTAAAACGTTTACACATCAAGGATCAGCATTCATTGTAAGTGATTTCATCAGAATTTGAAATAGCTTATAAACCTTTTGACTTTAATATAACATTAACCTAAATGTTAAAGAGGACCTGAACTGCAGAAGCTTTGCATCAAAAAGGCAAGCAGAAAACAAAGGACTACTCATCAAATATTGCCTGTGGTCTCCCTTCGGTCCTGACAAACAACTTTCTCTCCAGGAAGAAGTAAAGTAGTGACATCACCATATGTCACTCCAAATCTCATGAGGCTAGCAATCAAAGGGAGCAGTGTCTTTTTCACAGGAGATATACAGGAACACTCACATGCAAGGTAGGCATGTAGTTTGGGTTTGCTGCTATGATGGGTTCATGATGAATTCCTGGGGTTTGCGGCATTCGCAAACTTTTGGCTAAAAAAATTGTAGGTTTACCACCTGAAATTAGGAAAACCTAGAATGCAGAGCGGAGCCTTTGCCCATGGTCAGTAGAGTCACAGGATCCAATAATTTGAAAGAATTTTAATTAATAGCCTTTCTCCACCAGGGTGATGTGGCCCTTGGGGTGCCTTCAGGTTTCCTCAGGAATGCCTCAAAATCTCGCACAGCGTCATGCCTGATGTGAAGATGGCTCTTGATTTAAAGGGGGATCCTGATGTGAAAGGGTGGATTATGATGTGAAGAATTTTGTTTGTGCTTTTGAGTGGGGGTTCCACCCTTCAAATCCATACCAGACACCTATCTTAGAGAAGGGTATGGATTTTGGAGGTGCCACACATTTTTTACATTTTACATTTACAGGTGAGGTGCCTCCATAAATTTTCCTTCCTTTATAGGGTGCCCTAACTGAAAAAAAAAAGGTTGAGAAATGATGGAATAGAAAACCTAGCCCTGTTGGGCTAGGCTTTCTATTCCATCATTCATAAAAAGGGTGCTAGCCATATTGTGGGTTCTGTGAATATTAAGAAGAGCTGGCAATTCTGTGTAGGAAGAGATACTTTTAAATTTTTAAAATTTTGGAATTGATGGCCCCCTGTTGTGTTTGGCTTCTCGAGCCCTTTGTTTAACAATAGCTTGCTTAGTAGACCCTATAAATGGCCAGAGTTAAATCAGAATTTGAATCCCAATGAAACTGTTTGAGAACCAAACCCAGACAAATTCATGCATCATTAACATTGGGACATGCACTGCTGTGTTTCAGGAGGATTTCTAAACAAAAAGTAGGGTTTTCAGCACACTGCATAGGTATAATCTTTGTAGATGTTCCCAATAACTTGGCTAATCTTCACTTTTTGAGCTCAGGTCCATTTTAATATATTAAAAACTTAATTCTTTTTGTAGTTTATAATAATCTACAGTGGACACAGCTTATTTGATCTTCTTTTGAATAGACTTTCTTCAGTAATGGCTTGTAGCCAGAGGTCTTATGGTCTAGGTTGCCAAGGCTGGGAAACAGCAGTTTTTATTTAAGGCAAGAAAGAGGTACTTTTTTTAATCAAAATAACAATGTGGTTCAGTAATGCTGACGAGTGCTCTAATGATTCAGGCGAACTGGCAATTTTAATGACAGGACTGTTTTAACATTATGCAGTAGTGTTAGTTGAAGCAGTGACAGCCTGAGAGAGTTTTGTGGTAACTCTAGCATTTCCCAAATGGAAATAGATGGTATATATATCCATGCATATTGCACAGCCTTAATTATACTATGGTTACAGTTCAAATTTGATTCTCATGAACTGCAGTCACACTTATGCTCAAATTTAAGTCACAATATACCTATCCATTCTGAACTCTCATCTTTCAGTTCCTAAATTGCCAATATCTCCCACTAAAAGCAATGCATTGCAATGATGTACAGTATATGACTTTGTCTTACCTTTGCTCTCCACATAAGCCATAACTTGAAAATATCCACATGACGTCCACATTGCAAGGCCTTGTCTCCGGTGTCATAAGAGAGGTCATAGTGCTTATCCTGCTGGAAGAGGTACGATGCATGCATCTGATTGCAGCTCTGCATCAATCCCTGCCCAATAAGAAAGTGGAAAGAAAGAAAGATAACAGGCTTATTTGTTCAGCCATATACGTTTAGGGCATATTTATACTTGTGTTAATTTATGTGTATAATAGTGTGTTGACGCTGACGCACACTTCCTTAAGGAACACTTCATGAAGGCAACCTATTAATTTTGCATAGACTAGCGGCACACCTCAAGTCATTAAATAAAAATCACACCAGCTATGTTTTTGGTAACGGCATGTTAGTGGTGGTGCACTGTAACATTTGTGCATTATCATCTACTGTGTATATACATTGTAATGCCATTTTAAATCAGTGGCCATACAAGGCAATGCACTTATATCAAGTACATTTTCATGTGCTGCAATAAAAAAATTACTTTTTTTAAAATATCCTTCATGATAATGATTAAATAGTACATACATTAAAAAAGCACATTTCAACCAGCTTTTATATTTGATATTTAAAGAGGCAGCAATTTTGACCTTACATAAGAATATGAAAAACATAATTTTTGTAAGGAGGGTCAAATCCCATATAGACAGATGACATTATGGTAATTCAATATTACATAATGGGCACTGTAGGGAAAAATTGTAGTAAGGAAACATGCTCAGTACATTAGACATTCTAAAGGTGGAAGATAACAACTTAAAGTGCAAAGTAAATTCTGAAAAATCCCCTAAACCATAGCATAATTGCAGCTCTTTCGCAGGAACAGTTGAAGGCTCCTCTCTTCATCACCACAAGTCTGGACAAGCTATTATGAAAAATTACTGTTTTATACTGTCTTTTATTTTGCTTAAATCACAGAAGTACAAAATCTATATTCTACTCATGTGTCATGCAAGGCATGGGATACCCAAAGCACCTCTGCTGCCATGCAAGTACAAATCCCTGCATGTCAATGTCAATACACAGTCAACTATTTCTACACGGAAAGCACCATAAATCTTGTAGCCCTTATTTATTAAGTAAATCTACTGGCAGCAAAACACATTTAGGCCTAATGAAATGCACCAGCACCAGTTCATAATTGCCAATCACAATCTTCGGGGGTGGTGCCAAATCTGAATGCAAATGGACACATATTAGTAAAGCTTCCAGCTACAGGTTAGTAACTTCTTATTTTTTACTGTTTGAAATGCAGTGTATTTGCCTTTACAGATTCTTAAGTTGGCTATACACTGGGTACTCCCAAAGGACATAAAACAATTCTCTCCACACCCCAACCAGGAACAGCATGCCTAGATCCCTAACACAAAAGGAAATCCTAAACTGCAGACCATGTGTAAAACTAATGATATCCACACCGGGGATAAGAAACTGCAGGTTGGAAAGTACAACCCATGTCAGGATTACATACAATTTTAGGGATATACTGTAAATGCAATGAACCAAAAAAGTCACTCGCACTCCAATGTAGCGTCCAGTCAATCTATTTATTGACTAAATGGTGCAGCATTTCCATGCATGGAAATGCTGCACCATTTAGTCAATAAATAGATTGACTGGACGCTACATTGGAGTGTGAGTGACTTTTTCCATGCATGGAAATGCTGCACCATTTAGCCAATAACTAGATTGACTGGACGCTACATTGGAGTGCGAGTGACTTTTTTGGTTCATTGTTATATGCGGAGGCGTCCACTGTCGCTGCCGCACCCGCCCTGTGTGTGGGGAACTCTTTTCCGGTCAGGAGTGCCATGGGACTTTTGGATTATGAAATTACTGTAATTGCAATCTCATCAAACAAAATGTGTGAAAAGTCAAAATACCTCCAAAGTTTTGAGATCCCAAAGGCACCCTTTGTTAAGGTTCAAACTAGTGTGCTTTAATGCTGAGGCTGTTGGAAAGCCAATAACCATTTAGTCTAATCATCTTTAAGAATTCTCTACTAATCACCTAGGTATCACCTGTTAAAGCAGAGTTTGGGATGTTATAGGAAATTTCTTAAGATGTTTTCTGTCATATTGTTGCCAATAAGAATTCTTTCAAAGTCTATAAGATCACACTGGAAAATACTTGTTTGTGAAGAAATAACATTTATGTGCCCTCTTTTACACACCTATAAAGTGTAATAAACACTTTTCTAGAAATACAACTTTTTTTAAGTATGATGACAAAATTAGGGCACATGACTGGCCCACACGACAAGAGACCTCACTTCTCTTGTCATAAGACATAACCAATCCATGCCTAGAAAGCTCTAGGTGAGAAAGACACCTCCCCAAATAACAGTTCACATTAATTAGTTACCTACTGCTATAATCTTTACTCTCCTCATGCCAGTTACTTTTAAAGTCTCCCTGATCTTCTATCTAGCCTCCAACACTTTTCCCTCCTGAGAAGAGACTGCAGCAATAAATTTGAAGCCCCCCTAATCAGGTAAAAATAAATGAAAAAAAGCCTAAAAAAAGAAAACTAATGACGCCATCACATTTAATGATTGGTAAACTGATTTAGATACGCTTTAAGGACACTTACCTCTTCTCGAACCAAAAGAGCAGAACACTGAAGAGGAACGCCCATCATTTTGTGTGGGTTCCATGTCACAGAATTAGCTCTGTAAATGAACGAAAGCGAAGATGTTACTTATCAGCCATGTATGCTGGCTTTTCTGAGATCCACTTGCAGCCTTTAGTGACATAGGCTTCCTAAAAGAATGTGGAAAAGCATTGCCTGTGTCACCAGTGCCTAAACTAAAGCCTGGTAAGCAAGGTGCTGATTAAAGTTGTTGCTGTTTTAAAATAAATGATGTAGTTTGTATTACATTTACATAGCTTTTCAGAAGGGAGATTTAGGATGACAAGGAAAATTTGTCAAATTTTGAGTGAAGGGTCCACTTTAACCCCTCCCTACTCTACCCAGAACTTTAAAAAGAAAGGTTTTGGCTTTAGATACATAAAAGACAGAAAAAAGCACACTTCTATTTGGTCTGGGGTAAGCTCTGGTTTAAACCTGAGATCCTCCAAACGCAAGAGAAGCTCTTTCCCCTGCCACCCAATCCTTAGTGGCCATGAATTTCACTGCCCGCAGCTGCACATAAGCAAAGGGATGCAGTAACTTTATTGACCTTATATGGCCATTTGGCTATATTTGGTCAATTACATTGACCTAATATGGCCATGTGGCCATATAAGTTCAATGATTTTAGCACAAGCCTCATGCCCCTTTGTTTATGTGCAGCTGCGGGATGGGGAATGCCCTGGCCCGCAGCTGAGTGGGCAGGTGGCCGAACATCTCTTCAGAGATATCTTTCAGTTTGGAGGAGCTCAGGTTCAGGCTAGGTGGTTTAATCAAAATTTTAAACACTCATAAACAGATTCAGCAAAGGGTTTATCACACCATTCCCACAGGCTCTTATTAGTCCATTCCCAAAGCCTCCTATTTGACCCGTAATAGCTCCATAAGAAGGTTACACCACAGCTTCAGGCTGAGGGAAGGCTGCACCAAAATATGGCCAAGGGCAGATGCAACTTCCCTCCATCCATCACCCAACAGACAGTGCACATTACCTACACATAGCTTTAGGAGAATACACTGGAGGCTTCTGAGTAAGGAAAGTATACTCTGAAACATATCAGCCTGAAAGCACACAGCCATATCAGTGGTGCTACCATCTTGTAGCACTAAAGAAAGTCTAATTAGATACACAGGGAATGTCATAATAAGTCCTCTGTGGAATTAGTTTGTAAGCATGTTTTAAATTTAGCTATTAAATGATAATTAATGTTCTTGATGAGACGGCGCACTTTTTATTGCCTTTATACAGTATACATTACAGTTTGATTGGCCTTGTCAAAGCAAGGCCGCAGGACGCATGGGAAGTGTCCAGTGGATCATAACTGAAACAAGGCAAAGAGAGATCTGGTAATTGTGTCCCACTTTGGCTAAGTATGATGTGCTTTGTCATTGTTGAGCACTGTAGGCTATTGTGACAGTTTTCAGCTTTAGACGGACTATAATTTAAAATGACGCTAAACTCAGGAGTTAAATCTTAAAAATGCATTCAGGTACCTTAACTATTAACAAAAATGTATCTTATTTGTGTATCACTCGGCCGTAGATCCTCAAATCATCTCTGAACTGGTACTGACACTGTCCTTCCTTCTGGAGGGTGGCTACTTGTGTTCACCATGGTCCCTGTGTAACGATCGCGGCTTGCGCTCCACGGTGGAGCGCAGCCGCAAGGCGCAAGTGAAGTCGCCGATGCGTTCCAGAGTGGAACGCATCGGCCCCCATGACGTTGGTTGCGACTGCTATGTATGTTAGGCAAGTTCATGCAATAAAGTAACGTCAAGCAAGAAAATAACAAGCAAGAGATGTAATAACAGCACTTCCCTTTAAAATGGTGTAGTTAAGGTTCCAATGAGGAAGTCCATACAGCATTGGTAAGATACAGAGAGTCCCAATACTTAGTCAGCTTCAGCTTAGTCAGACTGTCACACACAAATGGATACTTGCTGTTAGTTGTCCTTCATAGATGAGGGATCCTCTCTCCCACAGGGTCCAATGGTCCAGTAACAGGGATCCGGCTGTCAGCTGGTGTTCACATGCAATAGTGGAACGCCATACTGAGATCCCTTCCGGCCTTTTATGGGGAATGTGTGTGGGAGGAGCTACCGACATCATGGGAGCCGATGCGTTCCACACTGGAACGCATCGGCGTATTCACTTCAGCCTCGCGGCTGCGCTCCATGGTGGAACGCTCCATCGTTACACCCTGTGTGTGTTGTAAAGTAGTCACAGCTCCAAGCTCGCTCACGTGATGGACTACAATCTCATGTTTAGTTTACTAATTTGTATTGAGATTGTAGTCCATCACAGGAGTGAGCTTGGAGCGGTGGCTACTTTACAACACACACAGGGACCATGGGGAACAAAGGTAGCCACCCTCCAGAAGGAAGGACAGTGTCAGCACCAATTCTGAGAGGATTTGAGGATCTACAGCCAAGTGATACACAAATAAACTACACTTTGCAACAAATGCAATTTTATGGTGTAATTCCTGAGTTAATGTCACTTTAAAAATGTGTCCTCTGCTTTAGCCTAGGGTTGTAGAATTCATAATTCAGATAACAGGGGCGTGACTAATAAACAAACTTGCTGTATAAATATCAGTAACCCCCATAGTAAATGTTTTTCATTACTGCTGGTTAAAATGAGTAGGCAACACTACTTGTGACTATCTCATTCGTTTTAATTATTCGGCATGTTTTACATAAAAACTGTCCTGTATTATTTCATAATAAACCTTCACTGCAAAATGACTGCAGGACAATAAAAGTTTAAACGTGATTGGCTGCTACTGTGGACAGTCATGAAGTGGTTAATACAAGCATAATTTTCTCCTGAACCCTAACCCCTCCCTCGGTGCAGCATCCTTTGTTCTCTCTGCTCCATTTGAGCTGTAGCGCTGCAATTATTTAGCTGCACACTTTTCTGAGAAGCCAACACCCGGCCAAAGCGTGCTTTATTTTCTGTGTAACTGTCGTAATTAGGGAGAATAATACCCTGAAATTATGTCCATTTTCAACACAAATATACCAGTGAAGCTATACCATATGTGATGCTCAAAGCCATCATACTATGTAGCAGGGGAAAGCTTCTTTACAATAAGAAAAGGAAGTGTCATTCGGATTTGACACAGTTAGGAATCTTGGCTCAGTCTGCTAAATCTTCTATTTCAGTGCTGATGTATGTCAGAGATCATCGCCGTACTTCTAAAGCTTTAATCCCTGGGTGGTAGAGCAATTACCATCACCAATTGGGTCATATTAACAACAATGATGTATAATTTGGGTCTTCGATGTACATCACAGCCTGGAATAATGCAGCAGATAGAAAGGATTCAATACTGTCTATACTGCACTGAAAATGTTTTTCAGGAAAATATTTAATCTTTATTCACGGTGGTAGTTCAATGTACTACTAAAGACTCCTTTGTGAAAGTCTAAACAACTAACCTATACAATTACTATCAGGGTTATTCACAGAAGGGGGACGAGTTTGGAGAAGGCCAGAGAAGTGAACAATCTAGGACAATATAGCTGCACTGGAAAAGTGAGCTGAATTGGAGAATTTGTCCAAATCAGCAATGTTGTCCAAGATTGTTCACTTCTCCTGACTTCTCCAAACTCTTCACCCATTTGTGAATAACCCTGTTAATGTAACTTTAATGTAATTTTAGGAAAAATTCTAACACACTTTTGGTTTTTATTATTATTAATACACCCTATAGGCTATGTTCATATCTGAGTGCACGATCATGTGCTAGTGCACACAGCAGTTGCAGCGAGGCCTTATTGATTTCAATGGGGTTACATCTGTGCGGCAATCACTGAAAAAAGGTACCATTATTTGCGACACACAGCTTTTTTATCCGCAATCTTGTTCAATTGCATTGGTGGAATCGCGTTGGCGTGAATGGGGAGCAATTTGAAAATAATAGCACTGCCAGCGTGATCGGCTGTGGTGGGCGACTGCGTGACCGCCAGGCAATCTACCTGGTTTTGTGCACGATTGCTGCGTGGCCACGGATCGCCCAAATGTGAATCTAGCCTCAGTGAATAACATTGTTATTGATCAGCAAACCTGTTGGCATGAACCCAGGTGGATGTATGCTGTGCTCTCTGTTAGGTGAACTAATTTGCTTGTGCACTGGCATTCCTTAAACTACTAACTTATTTACTTCCAGCATGCTTTACGCCCGTCGGCCTAAAAGAATTAGTTAAAGTGACACTAAAGTCAGGAGTTAAATCTTAAAAATCTCACTTTTAGTCTACTAATTTGTATTGAGATCGTAGTCCATCATGGGAGTGAACTTCAGAGATCATTTGAGGATCTACAGCCGAGTGATACACAAATAAGATACATTTTTGTTAATAGTTGAGGTACTTGAATGCTTTTTTAAGATTTCACTCCTGAGTTTAGTGTCACTTTAAATTCACCAGGGATGACTTTCGGTGCAATCAGTGTTTAGCATAACTTTTTGTTATTGCAGGCTGAACTTCTTCACATATTTATTTCTGCTTATACTAGTGCAAGGAGGGAGAGAGATCATGAAGACGGTGCGTGGTGGCCAGGGGAAATGTCACAGCGCTGCTTCTTTCACCCAGTGATGTGAATGATCTGGAAGTTGCCGAAGGAAATAAGACAGTACTTTCTCTCCCAGCCTGCATATTTGTTGCTGCGGTCACTTAAAGTATGAAAATGTGCCTGACACGAACACACAAATGGCTCTTACCTGTCAGCACCGTTCAACTTCCATCTGTGTTTTCTTGACATTAGCAGTCCTCCACCCCATGCAGCCTGCAAGAGGGGAAAACAACACTTCAAAGGTAATATAAGCCCTTAATATGAAAGCTTCATATCTTGTACCTGCCGCCAGACGAATACAAGCCCTAAGTGTTGGTCCTTTCTAAAACACTTCTATTAGTTTATTATAGGAAACATTCTACAGTTCTTCATCAATGCCATTGTGCGCTTGGTTGGCTGTTGGATGGTTTTACAAACTTGTGTAACTATACTTAAAATATCTGCATATCATCTTAAAGTGAAACGTAGATTGTAAACTCTCTCTCTGCCAAAGCTCCTGTAGTGTAACTGTACTTTCTCCATTTATCTTGTTAGGCACCGATCAAACTGTTAGTGCTATATAAATTGTGAATCATAATAATAATAATAATAATAATAATCATATTAAAATAGTGAACCTAAACTTCGAGGTAGAGTATGCTCCACAAAAAATTATTAGATAGGCAGGTGGGGGTCATAACCACCATATAAATATGTTGGTGAAAGTTGCCTTTAACAAACATATACTACCTGTGTACAACCCCTCTCTCTCTCTCATTGGTATCTTCTGTTTGGTAGACAATCCACAGTGAGGGAGGGTGGTTGTATAGTAACCTCCACAGCACTGCCGACACATGTCCCTTCCAGTGTGGGAAAGAACAGTTCATAGCCTTTCCAATGTGTAATGTGTTTGAACACAAAGCAAGGTGGCAGGGCCTAACAGACAAAATGGAGGGATGTTCCATCAGAAAAGAGACAGAGTTTGGTGGAAGGTATGGGGCTTAACAAAAAGGGGACAGCTTTTGGTGGAAAGTATGGAACTTAGCAAAAAGGTGACAGAGTTCAGTGGAAGGTATGGGGGTTAGCAGAAAGGGGATAGAGTTTAGTGGAAGGTATGGGGATTAGCAGAAATGGGACAGAGTTTGGCTGACGGTATAGGGCTTAGCAGAAAGGGGACAGAGTTCAGTGGAAGGCAGTTGGGTTAGCAGAAAGGGGATAGAGTTTAGTGGAAGGTATGGGGATTAGCAGAGAGGGGATAGAGTTTAGTGGAAGGTATGGGGATTAGCAGAAAGGGCACAGAGTTTTGTGGAAAGTATGGGGCTTAACAGAAAGGAGACATAGTTTGGCAGAATGTAGGATGCTTAGCACTTGAAAACTTCACTACATAGCCCTGGTGGCTTTGTAGCATCATAATGCTCACAACAGCTATTTCTGACCACAGTCACAAACGAGAATCTCTTCTTTTTTTCTGGGATGCGGGAGTGGGGAGGGTGTTGAGAGTTAGGGAACGTTTTCATTTCTTACACTCTAAGCCCCAATCCAGTGTTCATACCACGAACATGGACCCAGCTGGCTCCTATACATCCTGCACATCACATACATGCCTTGGCCCTATTGATTTCAATGGGTAGCAGAACTCATTGCAGCCTCCAGCAGTCACTTAGAGTACAACTTTCCCATAGGAAAGAACAGGCTGCAGTGTACATGAACAGAATGAAGAAGAGACAGCTGGGTCCATGTCAATGGTAAGATTGCTGGATTGGGGCTATAGGTAAGTATATGTCCACCCGGGACTGACCCGCCGATTCGTGGACAGCATCCGCCCCCCCCGGACTGACCTGCCGATGACTAACGGACCCTTGGGGCTTACATACTTACCAATGATGCCACAACGCCGCCGCCCGCCGTCTGCACACCACCCCAAGCCGCTGTCCGCGTCACGAGGGCATCACATCAAGGTCTGTAACCCTTCTGCAATTGGCCCGGTGCCACCCTCAGCGAATCTGCCGCTTCAGGCAAACGCCTTGTTTGCCTCGCGGCAGATACGCCCCTGCTAAGTACCAATAGGAAAGAAGATGTAGGTGATATGGTCCCAGAATAATCCAGAGAAAACAGAAATTTACAATCATTTTTCATAATACATATTATACAAAGAATGGGTGTACAAGCAAATACTCACATCAACATGCATCCATATCTTGTATTTTTTGCAGACATCAGAGATTGCAACAAGAGGGTCAAAAGCACCATAAACAGTGGTACCTGCTGTAGAACTGACAAAAAATGGAACAAATCCCTGCAAAAGGAAATAAAGATTTACCAATATTTGAAGATGGCAGACATAATATATTTATTGAAAATATAAACGATGTACTGTTGAATCATAAAATATACAGTACTGTTGAATCATGCGTGTCTGATTTTGTATAAATGTGTTTTGGTATTTAATATTATACTTTTTCTTGTTAATTGTGTTTTAATATATGCATATAGTTGGGAAATTCATATAGTGTAGAGTTAGGGACACACTTAGAAGTGCTTTGATGCGGCAGTGTGGCTTCCCCGTATATTTGCAAATATATGTAAATAAAACCTCTGTTTTTAATGGGAGTAGCTAACAGATTAGCTTGTTTTTGTTGCTGGCTAGCTGGAAAGTGTGCCGGGGACCTTTTTTTTTACTGTTCAATATATTGTAGCAAATTTGTTTTTGTTAAGTTCATGTATTGACCTCCGTTTCTTGAACCCAGTGGTGCTGGTTCATTTGTGCTCAGTTTACATTGGAACCTAACTAAAAAAATAAGATATTCTATGTTATATGAAAAATCCAGAAATGCTAAATTTGCCTAAGCAGTACCCTACAAAATATAACTTTTGTCTGATATTCCTCCTAAAAAAAAATAGCAGTGCACTCCCTGGTATGAGAGGGTGCCTAGGCGCCCCTGTGCTTACAGGCTTGGTGGTGTATATCTACAATGTGAGATTAAGGCACTACTACCTCTGACTGCTAGTTTTGGGAGATTTGGAATGCGATTTGCTGATGCTACTCCTCTGCTGCTCACTGCTGTTCTTGTCTGAGGCTTGTAAAAGAGGAAGCAAAAGCCCTGCCTCTACCAAGATGGCTGCCTCCATACAGAGACATGGTGCAGAACAAGGCATTGTAAGCCAATAATGGGGAAAGGTCAGCTGCAGAGGGACCACATGTAATGCTGATGACTAATTGCTTTCCCTAAAAGATTTATAGTGTCCCTTTTATTAGTTTTTCTTTACTCTGACGTAATCTGACTCTTTAGCTTGAGAGTCACGGGTTGGAGGTTACAGAGGTAACCTTTCCACACCAGGGAGATAGTATTCATTAAAAGTCAGCCATGTGTGCATTCTACCACTTATCCTACACATATAAGCCACCGCCAGATGTTTCTACAGCCAGAGATTTTAACATCCGCAACCTATTCTGCTATAAATAATGGTGCAGTGGAACGTTTATAAAGAATGAATGGTCCATACTTTCTGCTTGGCTTCGATGATTCTCCTTTCAAGATCTGATGGGATCATTTTCCCCCTGTAATTATGAGCATAAAAGTAAATATTTTCCAATGCGTGTATCTCCCTCTGCCAAATCATTCGAATATAATAACAGCGGATAATGTGGCTCAAAGTAATTTCTATCACATTGCTGAAAATATGAAGGTTAAAACTTCAAAGTGTTGTTAGAAGTTTATAAGAACATATTATGAAATCCTTGGCAGCAGAGTATAGGGCATAATGACCATTTTAGTCTCTGATTATTATAGTGTAATTAAGTATGTAGACAACAAAACAAATCATAAACATACATCTTAAAGTGAGCGTCTATATATAACTTTGTTATTTAGATGTGGATGGAGTAGAAAAGGGTTTAAGCCTCTATTTGTCCTGGTGACCTTTGACACAGACAGAAAGTGATGGGAAATCCAAAATCACAGCTACGGGGATAAGGGACATTTAACAAAGAAGACACCTATTCCAATGACATCTAAGTTCTTTTTGAAAAATTCATCCTTATTTCCTGTTGTGCCTTTGGGACAGGAAGAGCAGGAAAATCTCATCAATGGGACACAGCAAAAAATTAAACCTGCCGTCTCTGGTGGCCCTCTCCAAAATGTCGGAGTCAAAAATACTCACTTTTTGATACAGAAGCTGCTGCATGCTGCCTGGCATCTCAACACTCAGGTTTTGTTTATAGAAAAGTAAGCGCTGGAGACCCCTTCCTTAACTGTGCATTTGTGCCCCGCACCTCATAGGCTCTATTTGATTCCCATCTCTCATCAACTTATAGGTTGATAAGAATCAATTACAGCTTACAGGGCAATGGGGGGCATGTGCAAAGGTTCTGTGGGGACCTGAGGTGGCATGCAGCAGCTTCTGCATCGAAAGGTAAGTATTTTTTACACTAAGATGATAGGGAGGGCAAAAAAGCTAAGTGGAAAGTCTTTGCTTTCAGACTCTCTGGGATTAAATAGGCTGCTCACTATGCAAGGGAATTTGCACTTTGCAGGGAAGATTCCCTTAGCTTAGTGAATGAGGTGAGGCTCTGCTCTGCTTCTCCATTCATGTTTAAGCACAAATACTTTATTTTTTTTACATTTTCCCTTGCTCATGATTGGGTATTTTTTGAAAACTGAAATTTCACCTAATTTACCAAGCTAAGGAAAAACTTGCCCTGCAAATGCAAATACCCTTGCAAATTCAACAGCCTATTTGTCTTTAGTAAATACAGCCATATAGAAACAGAGAAGACATGGAAGGTAATTGTCACTTATCTGACCATTGTGTATGTGTAAGTTTCAACTTAAGCTATTGAGGTCTGTACAAAAAAAACGCTTTTCAGCAAAGCACGTAAGGACAACCTGGAAAATAAGATTAGAGCTTCTTTTGCCGGGAAATATTTTTAGTCTTTGGTTTATTAAATAAAGAAATACAAAAGCTCTATGCAGATTCTCAATACATACCACCAGTCTCTCTCTCCCTCTCTCTCTCTCTCTCTCTCTCTCCTTCTCTCTCTCTCCCTCTCTGTCTCTCCCCCCCCTCTCTCTCTCTCTTTCCCTCTCACTCTTTCTCTCTATCATTTTTGTGTTTCACTTACAAAAGAGGAGTTTTGAAGGACTAAACTTCCTGGGTTTGATATTGTTCTTTAGTCTCAGTGACTATATAACTGTGTGTCACATTCACAATGACATGTTTCAATGCACTTGACAACTTCAGGTGAATTGAGGTCACCCAATTTTATAGCCGTAAACTCGAACAAACAGATTACATTTAGTGACTGCTGATTTTGCTCTGTGTGTCGTGTTTCTGTGACCTAAATCAGCGAATGACTCAAGCTCTAATCTTTGATGCTAAATTACATTTAGAAGTTCTTGCGTACCTTTCATCGCACTTGATAAGGATCACACTGTCGGTGCCAATACCCAAGGCAGCAGCTCCCTTCTTTACTGAAAAGTGGCTCTGAAATAGAGCATATGGAATTACAATTAAATCAGTACATTTCATAGTTGTTTTTTTAGCATTTAATAGCTTCAGCCTCAAAATTTTATTCAAGGCAAACTGGGGTGATTATCTCTTAAAACCTTTTAAAGATTTATATACGTGTTCCAAGAAGGCAAAAAATTACTTTACCTGTCTAGCTTAAAGAAAAACAAATACAAGTAACAAAAACAAAAATATTCATTAAGTTGTTGCAGAGAGTAACTTATATGATCTTATATTTGTTGGTATAACATTCTTCATTCTACATTATCATTAAATATCTAAATCACTTGTAAGACCACATGCTGATTCCTGAATTTTGGGTATCATTTTAGGCACCTAACTGTACCAGGAACATAGGGAAACTGGAGAGGGTCCAGACATGGGCAACCACATTAAAAGGTCAGCCTATCCACTTTGGCTGCAGAGCTGTCGCCAGGATTTAAATTTGCACTTATCAGCATGCCAAGTACAATATGGTAAAATGTAATGTAACCAAAATTTGGGCAAGAATTAACCGAGAGCAGAAAAAAGTGGTGGTCATGGTCTGGACTTGGAGATCCAAGAAGGTACTGGGAGCACATACTCCTGGAGACAATATCTAACGGTGCCTCTCCTCATAGCTCCGCACAGAGCATCTCTTTTTGCCCTCAATTGTAGAAGCAGGGGATTGATGGAAAGCTGAGTATGTGCTGCCGTAGAGGTGAAGGTGGGATAAAAGGTGAACATGTTGCTTTGCCTTGCATGGGCAAAGCACAGGTTACTTTTAAAGCATGGCCCCTCAAAGCATTCGTGGGTGTCTTATATGTGGAACTAGTGAGACTTATGTTGTACAATGCTACACGAGGCAGTGATATATCTACAGTAACAATTGCTAAAGAGTAGCATAGTATGTTACAAACCAGTGGTTCCAGATGCAACTTTGACTACAGGAGCATAATGGAATGAGCTGCCTAGCTTCACTAGCCTGAACCCCTTGTTTTTGGGAACTGTGATGAAAATGATGGCATAAAACTAGCCATTGTTCTAAGAAGCCATTGCCTTACATAACAGTATTGAGGTCCCATGAGTCTGATTTTGTCCCACCACCAGATTGCCACTTCAGTTTTTTAGGCACTTGCATATAAAATGTAATTTTCCAGTTATGTTTTTTTTAAGCTATCATTTGTTTATGTGACAAAAGGAAATGCCTTCATACATGTCATGAATTTAAGTTTTCAGTTCAGGAATGACTCACAACTTCAAAACTTGTAATATTTCTAACTTGGAGGCCTTTGTACCATATTTTGCTGCTCCGTTGCCACCGATAATTACAAGAAATAATGATGATGTGATAATTTTTGGCATTTAGAGAATGTATAGTGTGATCCTTGCAAAACCTTCCTCACCAGCCTTGGACAGAGCTGGATGCCTTATGTAAATGAAGTGTGAAACGGCAATTGAGGTCAGTGCAGCTCTGAAGCATTTCAGCCCTGCAATTTTATATAACAAGAACTCTGTGATTACAAGTGCTATTCATGGAGCTTGTTGAGTCACTACTCCTCTGTCAGTGCTCTTTTCTAAGTGTCATCCCATCTACGTTTGATTATTACATGAGGGAGAAAGAAAGCCTAATAAGTACTTTCTTCCCCTTGGTATTTCAGCAAACGAAAAATCACATCCATCAGACCCATTGGTATTCCATCGCTATAACAGTGAATCTCAGCATTCTTTCGCCTCCTCTGACTCATATCAGTCGGTTATATATTTTAATATAAATGCTCTTTTATTTCTTAATGATGACATTTTAAATCAGCTAAGGTAATGTGATTTTGTGAATAAATAAAACTTACTTTCTGTTTAGTAACAGGGGTGTCACAAATATGGATAGACCTCTGTGTCACCAGAGGTTGGCAAAGGGTTGTCATTAAGGGTGGCCATACACTGCTCTATTTTTCTCGTTCAACCCGCGGGCTGAACAAAAAGAAATAGTGCCCATTCATCCATCAACACAACCAGCTTGTCGATCAAGGAAACCTACTGTTTGCATTGTACTCAGAATGCCCAAACAGAGCTGGCGGCTCATTGGCTATTGGCTCTGATTTTCCGGGCAGCTCTTTGCTGACAGAAAGGGTGCTGACACTGCGAATGTCGGCTGATTCCTCAAAAAACGGCAGAAATAAGTACAGTGTATGGGCACCATTAGATTCTACAGTAGTTTCTAAGAAGTGATGGCATTTTGCCACGGTTTGGCTGCAGGCCTTGTGATTACCTCACTAGTGACACCTGACCAATGTACAGGAGTAAATAAGAATGCCAAATCGGAAGATCCAGCTATTGTCAGCATCAGGCTAAACAAAAGGGCAGGTGTCAGACAAGTGTAGTCAGAGAGTAAGGTAAAGAGGTCAGGGCAAGCTGCAGACAGAATTTAAGCTGAGTTGTTACCAAGAGCAACAGATCAAAAGTGAGAATTGGAAGTCAAACCAAATCTAATCAAGGATCTCAAATGAGGGACAGACACATTGATCCAGTGCCTGAGCAAGATTTAAAGCAAACTGTTTGTTTGTCCATGTACAGCAATTTGCCACTTGCCTTTTAACCCATCCGTTCATCCACTAACATTCCAAGAACCTCTGGATATGACAGAGCATGAGACTCCCTCTCCCATGTAATGGCACCATGCCTTGCGATTGGCCCAGCACTGTCACATGGGGCCAGGGAAGGAGTCTAAAACCTTGTGTCAGCTTCAACAAATTGGTTTACACAGGACATTTTTTCACCTGGCCTGCAGACAAACAGAGTGGTGGGGGAGCAAGTAAGGGTGACTATAATCTGTGGGGAAGGGTTAGGGCCTATATCAGGTTTTTATTGTCCCTGCTGTGGAAATTTACTCTCTCTATACGAGGGCACAAACAAAAACAAGGAAAGTAAGGGAAAATCTCCCTGTTGGGGTCCCAGATAGAAATTAAAGTCATATAGAAATTTTAACTGCTCCCCACTCAATTCGAAACTACTGTAATAGAACAATCTGGAAGTAGGCTTTAATGTAAAAATACATGTCAGGGAATATTTAAGGATGTATTTAAAGCAGAATTAACCTTTTATTTGTATTTCATGCAATCCCTTTAAAATAGTTAGGGATCATTGTGCATGAGTGCATACCTGCAAAACATCCTTCCCTGTGACTGTATCAAACACCCATCCTCTTACAGAAGCCACTTCTGTTACATCTCCTATGAACTGAAGGAGGTGCCTATGTCAGAGGGAAGCGATGTAATTTTTCCTTACAGTGATCTCCAGCAACTGCTTTTATTTATTTGGCAGCAATTGGTTGCGTATTAGAAGTTCTACCACCATACTATTCCTCTTTCTTTCAGCCTTATCTAAAACCTGTGGATGGTTATCAAGCCAGCTCTTCATGTATATTATTATTCAGTATATTTGCAGTGCGCCTGACCAATTGAAGAGAGGAGATGTGTGCATAGAAACTGCCAGGAGGCATGGAGGAACCTGTCAGAAGACAGGCAGGGAGATTCAGGGAACATTTAAAGTGGATCTGAACTCAAAAAGTGAATATTTGCTATGTTGTAGGGAAATGTATTAAATGTATTTGTTCCTATGCAGTTCCCTTAAAAATGTGCCTTTTGTCTTGAATTCCTCCTTGAATATAGCAGTGCATTTCATGGTATATGAGGGTGCCTAGGCACTCCTATGTCTACAACCTCATAGTTGTATATCTTTAGTATGAGATCTAAGGCACTGCTGCCTCTACCTTTTAGTCTTAGGAGATTTTAAGTAAGATTTGGTGATGTCCCTACTGTGCTACTCTCTGTTATCCTTGCTGCAGGCTCTGACATGAGAAAGTAAAGCCCTGCCGCTACCAAGAAGGCCGCCTCCACACAGAGACAGAGAATGGTTTTCGACATTCTGAAGTCTATGGGGCGTTCGACTGACTAAAACAAAAATGCTCAAGCCTGAAAAACGTGTGAAAAAACATGCAAAAACACACCAAAAACACGTCAAAATCACCTGCAAATGCTTTCTCTCAAGTGTGAATAGGAGCTTTGGTCCTACACTATAAGCTGTATAAAAACAAGGAGGGTCTGCAGGGAGGGAGTGAGAGCAGCAAAGTACACTCCACCCTTTTTAACATGTCAAAAGCCTCTGTTATACCCAGGAAGAGGTGGGGAAAAGTCTATGACCTCTGGGAACCTTCCACCAGTGAAGCTCAACCCAACAATATTAGAGATCACTGAGTCCTCCTGCAGCACCAACACAGCATATTGGACTGTTGAACAAAAGCAAAGGAGAAATGTATTTGTAGGTGGGTATGCACATTTCCCCCAAATATGTGCAGAGATTGCATTAAAAGAAAATGATTTGTGGATGAATACAAAGCCAGACTAAAAAGGTGTTTTTATTTGCTTGGTCTTTGTTCTACCACATTCGGTCAATAACAATACTACAGACTTAATAAATAAAGTGGAAGTCTAGCCAAGTTTTTCAGAATTGGATATAATGGAGAATGTCAAGAGCCTCTGTCAGTTGCTATTGTATATATCCTATGTTGGGGTGATTTCCACTCACCCCCTGTATTGGATACTGGGTATCAGTAGGAAAGGAAGTGAGGAAAAATCCCACCAACATGTACTGGAAAACCGTAACCCTTCCTCATTCTGTGCAAAAATAAACTTTGGATGGAGTTTCATGTAAATGAATTTGGCATCACATGAAAAGAGGCTGAAAACAAATTATAACATTGATGATATAATTAAAGAGACATACGTGCTCTGAGGTGAAGGCAACCAGTCTCGGGATTGCAGCCATTCCTTTCTCTTTAACTTCTGGGAACATCTTGAAACGTGCAATCAACATAGCATACAAGTTAGATATGGCACCACCTGGAGTCCACAGTAATACAATGTTACTTTTCCATTGAATTGTCAGTACATTCTTCAACAAACTGAAGTTCAGGAATAAAGCACTTTCTGCTGTAAGCTTGAATGGATAATGTCATGCAGAGGAGTCATTTTTGTACCCCCCCTTCCCCACCCCACCCCAAACACTGTATGGCCAAAAGTATGTGGACCTCTGACCATCACACCTACCTGTATAGCCAATGGTATGTGGACACCCGTCCAAATGATCAAGTTCAGGTTTTTCCAGTGAAGTGTACTGCTAATGTTACCGTCAGGGCTGGCTTAAAGAAGAACTCCAGGCAGAAACAAAATAACCCTTCCACTGGGGCTACCCCCACACTGAAAGGATTAACTGTTTATTTTGGTCTAGGGTGTAGAATAAAAAAGGAATGCTTACTCAAACCTTGGACCCACCTGGCTGCTAGACCCTTTGTTCCAGTGGTCTAAGAACCCATGAATCATCACGTCCAATACAGTGTATAGTACATGAGGATCCCGAAAAGAGTTCCATTGCCAGAGCAGACGGGGAGAGGCTGCAGGGAACGGTCCAGCAGCCAGGTGGGCTAGGAAAGTATATATTTTTTACTTTCACCCTAGACCAAAACAAGCAGTTAACCCTTAATTTTGTGTCTACCCAGAGTTCTTCTTAAATGGCAACTGATGCCCTTAGCACAGCCCAACAATGGTGCCCCCCTTGGCCCCTCTATTGCTTAACTGACAAGACATATAGGATGTTCACTTTGCAAGGGAATTATCCCTGAGCTTGGTGAATGTGGTGAAATTTCACTTTGCAAAGTATACCCAATCACAGACATAGAACATAGAAAAACAGTATTATTGCTTGCATATGATTGGATGAGCTTCACTTCATTCACTAAGCTAAGGAAAAACTTACCATGCAAAGTGCAAGTCTCCTTACAAAGTGAACAGCCTATTTGCCTTTAGTAAATCAACCCCTATCTGTGAAGGAGGAGGGTGGAATCAGTTGTCTCAGGGCAAAGAGGGGAACAGGATAAGTGCACCTTGTTTTATAGTGCATTTATTTTTTAACCACAACTTGCCAGCTTTACACAGTCATGCAGCGGCAAAAAGGTGGGTTTTAATGCCTGACCACTACATATACTGTATGTGTCCATTGTTCTGTGCTGGAAGCACCCTCACTGTGCACTCCCAGCACAGTGACTGAGCTGTCATCAGCAGCTTCCAGGCAATGTTTATGATTGAGAGCCTGGGACACTGTGATTGGCTGTCAGAGCAGTCATATGATCAGGAGCCCATCCCTGCCTCCAGCTGAGAAGTTAAATTAGGGCCAGCAGCAAGGAAGTTAAGGGCATGATTCTAGGGGAAAAGTGCGTTAGACAACTGGGCACTTCCAACTTTGTAGCAACATTTTGGACAGGACCTTTTCTGTTCCAGCATGACAAAGACAGCTCTAAAAAGATATGGTTTGGTAAAGAGGAATGAAATTCCCACAGGCACACTCCAAAATCTTGTGAAGGGCATCACCGGATGAGTTTAGGCTGTTATAGGCACCAAGAGAGGCCCCCTCCATATGAATGGCCATGGTTTTGGAATGTGATGCCCAACAAGCTCATGTAGGTGTGATGGTCAGGTGTCCAGGAACCTTTGGCCATATAGTGTATTTGCAATACTCTATTCACAGATAGAATTCCATACTCCTTTTACATGCTGCATTTCCCAGAATGGCAATTCTATTAACAATACAATATTCTTCAACAATACTTAAAAAATCAGATGCACTTGTTAGGGTCATGCACATAACACAATGGCGTTTTCATTTTTTCACTATAGGCAGCTGCCCCTGATGTACCCCTTCAAACCCAACCCCAGTTACACCATTTTATTTCATTTTGGATAGAGCAGGGAAAGGTTGGAGCCTCTATCAGGCTCTATCATCTTCTGTGTCCCTTTTGAGGAGATTTCACCTCACTTCCTGTCAGGGCAAGAAACAATAGGAAATTCCTTCAACTGGTACACAAACAAATCCAAATCCAAACTATCCAAAATAAAAGAAATGTCTGGATTTGAGCATGAAAGTGTATCTGAACCCAGGATCAAAACCTTAATAAACTGCATCTTACCATTCCTTAGATGTGCTGACTGCATTAGTTTTCTTTTTTATCTTTTTTTCCTTTATTTTATTCTGGTGATCCTGCCAGTAACACACTTTCTGCTATAGGAAGATAACTGACTAACTGTACTGTATCTATGAAGGAACAGCAATGTCACCCTTGAACCTCCTCTCCTAACCTCCATAAGACTGAGGGGAGTCCACAAAGACAGTTGGCAACAATGTTAACTCAGGTACCTTTTGGTTTCTGAAAGATTCAGTGCAATTGCTTCTCAAATGTACTTCTAAATGGGTTGGGGAAGGGTCATCTCCATAACATAAGGAGAATGCCTTCTGTAGTTCACAGAGGTGAACTGGGCAGTGCTGATAATATATGAGATTTCAGTGCAGCACTATCAGCTCACTAGATTTTTGGAAGGATCAACAAGTATATTTTTGCACTTATTGAACAGATATAACAAAACACTTTAAATTGTACATTTAACAGGCCACAAAGAAGAAAATCAGGCTATAAAGAGCCAGCTCCCTTGCGGCAGCAATGCTTTCCGTTGCTTGTACTGTATATGTAGCCCTCTCTTCAGCAGGCTTCCTTGCAGCTGCACCACCTGCCATCTGTAGCAGGCACTTTGACCTTATCAGGTACAATGCAGGACCAGCACTCCTTCATTGCATGCAAAGATACCAAGGGAGAAAGAAACCAATGGATTTTGGTGAATGTAGGGATTAAGTAAGTATAGTTGCTTTTTCTGTTCCTCCTAGACAAAATTGGCATTTAACTCTTACATTGCTGGGGCAATCTCACTGCAAGGGATATTTGTTTCCCAGGAGTTCAAATTTAAAGTCACTTGTAAGAAGAAGTAAAGAAAATAGTGACAGGCCACTCTATCCCGCTACCCCCGCCATTGGTTTTCACCACTGCAGAACTACAGTGGCTTAAGAATCTTCTGCATTTACGGGATGCTGGGTTCCCCTCTGTGCACTGCTGATTCTTCTACCAATCCCTACAGGGCACAGTAAGAATATAGGCAGATGGAACTACAGCGCACAGCGAGGGAAACCAGGCACCCAACACAGCTGTAAGATTTTCCAGCTGGTGGACAGGAAAGATAAGCTGCACAGTTGGTGGGACAGGTGATTGGGTCATTTAGAGCATTTTTAAGGTCAGAGGTGCTCTTAACTTCACACGGAGATTTTCCTAAAATGTTGTTCTGTAGTTCACAGAGGGGAACTGAGCAGGGCTGATAATATATGAGATTTCAGTGCAGCACTATCGGCTCACTACAGGAAGTTATGAGCGCACTAGATTTTTGGGAGGATCAACACTTTGTGTTCACAAGACAAATTGCATGAGAGATTGCAATGGGTTCCAGTGCTACACAGGTGGCAATCATAGGAGATCTCCCTGTCTATGGCCATCATACCTTCCCCATGCCTACCACTGCTCTAAGAAAGAAAAGTGATACAATTACAGTTGTTTTTTTATTCCTCTGTAAGGTTACTAAATAGGAAGTCACCTGTGAGTCCCTGAAACATCGGGTTACTCATTGGACATTCATAGATAAGTACAGAATCCTTATTTTTTCATATTACCAGTCTGTTGAGCATTCTCTGCAATTCTGTTGTCTATGACGCCACCATTAATAAAACTAAAACACTTTAAGTCAATTGTATTAACTTGGGAAAACAATAAAATAGATGAAATACATACATATTTACTGTTTACCTACCACAGGATTTGTTATTCTGAGCAATGAGTCTTGAGATTTATACCCAATTTCTACACTGCATGCCAGATAGGTGACATATGCAGGTCCTGAATAAGAGTTTCATCTTCCTGGTTCAGCAATTCAGCTTTCTATGCCAGCTCTCTCTTCAGGTGAAACAGTAAACATGTATGTATTTTACTATTTCTATGAAGCTCCATTTTATTTTATTTTATTTTATTTAGGACGCCTCTCCATTGGGCACACTAGCACAGTGTGCCCAATGGAGAGGCGTCCTAAATAAAATAAAATAAAATAAAATGGAGCTTCATAGAAATTTGTAAAATGCAAAGCACTTGCATTTTACAAATTAATAAAATGCTGTGCCCAATGTTGCAGTGAACACTCCATAATTAGATTAAAGGATCATCACATGACTTCCCTTAGCAATATGGTCTTCCTATTGGAACAGATTAACTCAGTATATAGGAATGATGGGCCAGTTTTGTATTGGCTCCAACATAATACATGATTATGATGTGCTATTGCATTCAGCATACTGTAGGGTTTTCTTTGTACTCAGTACTTTCATAGGACTGTACTGTTTACTGAGCAGGAACTTGCAGCCAAAAATAGGATAGATGGCTACAAGTTAACTGAGCCTTAGGGAGTCTTGTGACTCATATAGAGTTGGTATGCATTATACAGAGGCTCTTTGCCCAAGCTTTTCCTGTCTTATTCCTAAATATTAAAGATGAGTGGCTTGTTTTTCTTTTGTAGCTGTTTCCCCATGCCCCTTCCTTGTTAAGTGACTGAATTTTTTATTTGTCTTGGCATAATATTAAGACAAATTGTTTTGTAATAGAAGGGAAGTCACACTAAATGGATGTCCAGATTAGACAACATCTTCTATAAATTCAGCTCTTCTAATTATACATTTCCTTTTTGGCTTCCATATCCCGGCTCACTGTTACATTATCTGAATATGATGCCACACGTTGCTGGTAGGGATGTAGAAGTGGCTGCCCCTGATTAATAGTGTTTGATTGCACTGCCATCTTGCCTGACCTGCAGGCATACATATTCAAATGCATGTAATTGGTGCTCAGTTGATATTCTGAAGGACTCTCAGGAAAACAGAAGACTGAGCAATGTGGATGATAGGGGGGTATCCTCAGGACATCATCTGCTTACATCTGAGAGCAAAATGTTACTGTGTAATGCAGAGGAAATGTTCACACAGAAAGCAAATAAAAAATGGAAATAGAAAAACAGAGACTTCAAAAAGCGACCTCAAACTAAGCAACTGGTAATAGTAATAGGCAAAGCATTAAAAAGAGGCTTCACGAGCAGTTCACTTGATCTGCTCCTGCAATCTGGTTCTCTTGGTTTGGATCCAGTGTTTTTTCCTGTTTTTCTTTTTCTTTTTCTGTTTTTTTTTTTAACCCTTTTAAATGACCAAACAGGTGGTGATGGGCATCAAGCTATTGTACCCCCATCACAGATTCTACTGTGTTTTTGGAGCATTATAGAAAGGCTTGCTTTGTTTTTAAAGAATATAATAATTAAAACCCAACTCCCACAAAAAGAAATTTCTTTTTTTCTGGGGAGAGTGGAGAAGTCTTAGAACATCTGTTGACATTGTATCAATGTCTGGGTCACCAATTGGGAGGTTTCTCTCCACTTTCTGTCTATTTAATGAGTGTCAAACAGAACAGGGAGTGGAAACAAGGAAATCACACCACTGGGCTACAGGGAGAAATTTCTTCTCACTTCCTATCCAAAAGACAAGCGTCAGACAGAACAGGAAGAGAGGAGAAATATACTCTATGGGGGGCACACAGAATTTACAATCTGACAGGATTTCTAACCCTACCCCATTCTACTCAAAACTAAATACAGTGTTTTGGCTGGAGTTAGTCTGATGCTTAAGTAACACAAGCTGGGATAAAAATGGAACAGGGCTTGGGACACTCTTGCAATTTTGAAGAAGCAAAATAGGAGTGAATATCATGACATATTAGCCAAGGATCAGAAATTCTCGGCGCAAAGCCAACACTCAGGCCCCTTTCACAGGGGCGGTCTAATTGGGTCCACCTGTCAGATTTTCAGGCACACCCGGTTAGATGCCCAATGCTAGTCTATCAGCAGCTGGGTCTAAATGAACGGGCATCCATTTACACCCAGTTACCCCCAACTCTGGCCAGGTCTGGAAAAACAAACTGGACAGAGTTCAGTTTCGCTGGGCCTAGTCAGGCCGGATTGGAGGTAATCTAATGTGTCTGTTTACATCTGACTTCCCATTGACCAACATGGGGCCTGACAGTTTTAGTTCTTTTGTTTAGCGATAATTTGCTACAGCTAGCTATTAAATCACTAGCAATTTTAGTAGCAGGATTGAGCTGCTATAAATCTCCCCTGCAACCTATTCAGAAGACTTCCATCAAATAATTGAATCTCTTAGTAGCAATGGAGTTAATTTGCCAGTGTAGCCCTAACCTAACAGCTCTTCTCCCCAACCCCAGCCTGTGACTGGACAGTGAAAGCGAAGTAGCACACTAATGAGCTCAGCTCTCTGCCAGCCTGCCCTCTCCTCCTATCAAAATGCTCCTTGTACTGCAGTACAACTGATTGGTTCCTTGTGCCGTTTCCCTCTCCCCTAGTCTGAGCTATACTGAACTGGGGGCTGATACCCATCTAATTTAAGTACCGTACTTACACAGCTTACATTAATAAAATACATTTAAAGATTTCAACAATGATTGTAAATTCTAGGATACCCATTTCTAACACACAAAAAGAAAAAATGCCTTTACACAAGGTCATTCGGAATAACTTTCGGCATCATGCAGGAAAATCTGTGTCATTTATTTCATTTTAAGCAGGACACAATAACCTTTTTTTTAAGCTTCTGAAATACATAACAGAGGTAATGTGTTGAAGGGGGGATTTGGGCCCAGAGAGACAGAGAATAAAACAGACCTAGCAGAGACAAATTATTTGATAAGGCATCTTGTGAAAAAAATAAAATAACAGAGGACACTCTATTCCCAATAATTACCAGACATTCTAATCTCTGCTCTGCATGCACAGAATTCTCCTAAACGGAATTGATTAACATTCACTTTGATTGTTCCTTCAGCTCAGTAATACTGCCGTCCTGTGTACAATGCAGTCAGAGATTCTGCAGATTCTCTGTGCTGCGCTGTAGAATGCAGAGTATTTAGAACTGCAAGGCATATGTCTCCTTCGATTATTTTTCCTACACAGCACAATTTACGCTCATGGTAATGTGCAGCTTGCTTTGAGGACTGTATATATCGCTCCGAATTAAATTCATTGATCATCAAGGCCGGAAAGTGAACCTCATTACACTCTGCTACTCGGCAATACAGCCAAAGAAAATATATTTGCAGATGAAAAGGAATAAGAGGAGATAATAATGTAAAAGCTAATTTACCTGGTGAGAATATTCCATCACCGCTGCCTCCAGGCCAGCCAATCATCTCTCTCATTTTCTTTAGGGTGACATATTCCAACAATACAAATACAGGAGCAATTTCATAGGTGAACCTAAAAGAAGGGAAGTCAATTACAAAAAGATTCTAGATGTAGCAAACCACAAATCATGATATGGCTGGATGCAGGCAGAGGCAGAATGGGGGGCTGGCACCAAGAGCTTAGCAGGGAGATGTGTATTGTCCTTACACATCTCCCCTTCCAGCCCTTCACAACCTGAGACGCTATGTCCGGAAAGGGGGCAGCAGGCACACTGCAAACATTGTGCAAAAGAGCGGCCATGCCGATGAGCCTGAACTGGCTTCAGGTACCACATTGTGAGAATTTTATAATTGAGTTCTTGAGTAATCTGGAACACACCAAGGTTTTGAAGGATAAAAGAGAGATTTTCTGCCTTTCCTCCTGAGTAAGAGAGCAACCCAATTCGTGTTCCCAATATCGAAAGAAGTAAGGGCAAAAGTCATCCACCGGACTGATTAGCAGGTGGTAAATCAAAGAGAGAGCGTGGGCAAGTGACCCTGATTCAGAGAATAGCTTCTCAAATGGAATACGAGGTCTGGAGAATTCCAAGAGTCACAGAAAAGTTCTGAATGTGATTTCCGTTCTGAAAAATCGTACATATTTTGATGCACTAGAGACAAAAGAAACCTGGGATTCTATTCAAATAGTTGATCTGGACAAGATTTTAAATGCTTTCAAACTAAATCAGTTGGCTTAATGATGGCAAGATGGAATACTCTGATAAAAATGTTACAGAATTTTTAATGTTGTCACCCTGTAGGGAAAAATAATGGCTCTTCTGGCAGGATCAACAGTTAATAGATTATGTTACAGGGGGGACTCATAAGGATAAAAATTGCTGTGTTAAAGGCGTTGACTTTTTCTGCCATGTTTCATGTTACTCTCATCTATAGGTTGTAACATGAAACCTTGTCACATCCCCAACCCCCTCCGCCATTATTATTATACAGTATTTATATAGCGCCAACAGTTTGCGCAGCGCTTTACAATATAAGGAAGACATGACAATCACAATACAATTCAAGACAAGACGGTAAGGAGGGCCCTGCCCATTAGGGCTTACCAGGGGCAGACTGGGCCTCTTTGATGCTATTAAAAACTGCCCCGTCACCGACCCACCTGCACCCGGCCGGCCCGCATCAGATGCGGCTCTGTAACCGGCGGCCGCTCGCTCCTCAAGTGGGTCCTTGCGTCTGCCTGATCCAGCCAGCCCGAATTGCCTTATATGCAATCCGAGCCTGGCTGGATCAGGCAGACGCAGCCCTCTAATCAGGCACTGTAGAGTGCCCCCTGCTGGGGCCTCGCGTGGACCCGAGTGAGGAGCG